AATATTGCCTTTTAATTATTCTGCCATTGGTGCAATGACAATGTATCTATTTTTTATTATAATTAAAAATCGTGATACCTCGATTTAAAAAAAAAAATCGCCTTAAAATGTAAATTCGAATTAATCGAAAAAATCGAAAGAATCGCCCATCCCTATTTGTATGACACAATATTTAGTTTTCCAAGTAGAACAAATTTGTTTTTTCTTTTATTTCTGACTCTTTAATCAAAGGAGAGACAAGCATGAACTGCACCCTATATCAGTTTCATTCACACATTCCTTTTAACACATTCGTGTTTATTATAGATTTTATTTGAGCTCATCTATTGTCTCGTTGTTTTTTTTTTTATGTTTCTTTAAGCCCTGGAAATAAACTGAACAAACTTATCCAGTCTTTCAAAGGAATATGCCAAGATTTTGGCAAATATGCTTATTTACTTTCTTACTCACAGCTAGATTGATATCACTGTCATACCTGTCATTTTAATATAAAGCTGGAGCCCAAGCATAGCTTAACAACTGAAAAATTTTGCTCCTGTATGAACTTGTCACACGCCTGACTTGCACTTCTCTTAGAAGATGCAGCCTTCAACATTGCAGCAATAGAAGAAGCACCTCACCTGTCTCATGGAGTGGGGAACAGTAGCCGCCTGCGAAGGCTGGTTTTGTATCTCACCGCCAAACGCTATTGCATCACTGGATGTGACCGCTCCACCACCACCCCCCCCTCCTCCTCCAGTGTTTATATTAGGACTGCTGCCCATAACAGCTGCCCTGACCCCATAGGGGACCCTGACCCCAGCTCTCCCTAGGGTCATGGTGCTTTTGGGCAGCGAAGGATTCAGCCCACTGCCCAGGCTCCCAATGCTGACCGGGTCTTCCCCTGTGTCAGTGAAGTACATTGGACCTCCTGTGGCGTAGGCAGCATTAAGTGACTGAATATTCTCCATGGACAGCGTTTTACCAGAGCCAGTAAGTCCACCAGTGGAGCTGCTGCCGCTGTTCCTCCGGTGTCCAAGGCATGGGGAGCGTGGGAGGCGTGGAGAGCGACCAGGGCTCACAGACACTGACCCATTACCATTGGATCCAAAAACATCCAACTTTGAGATAGAACGTGAGCTACCATACATGGTGAGTCGAAATGGGATGTACAGTGTAGAGATGCAAGAGCGTCTGGGTCAAATTAATCAGTGAAGTGGATAAAAAATGTTTCCAAAAAGTCCTGAGGAAAGCCTCTCCCTAAAGAAAACACAGTTAGGAGCCTATGCACTTACAACATGCTCAAAATTACATGAAGCAAACAATGTATGATGGATGTCTAGGAAAAAATTCTGAAACACTAAATTAACAGCTGAAAACACTGAATTCCTGCCAATCTTCTAGTGTAGTCCTTCTTGACTTGAAATATCCTGATGCAGTGTTAGCACAGCTGTGATCAAGACCTTCCCAGCACCCTCGCTTTAATCCATGGGCTTTGTTAGAGAGCAGAAATCAATAGGGCACCCTTTTGAATAAAGGCAGTTAGTTAGTCCACAAGGCCTGGGATGATGAGATCACCTAGAAAGACAAAGAGAAAGAGACAGATTTAGTGGTCAGTGGAGCAAAGATACAGTGCATTTAAGGTCCAAGTATATTTACCAAATGATGAAGCTACTTCTGAGTTAGACCAATTTTTTCTATTTATTTTGTGCACTGCTATTAGAACAAATGGAACAGACAATCCACAAGGCAATGCACAGAAAATTATTTTAAATAATCAGTTAAACAAAGATGTTCTACACTGTGTAAAACTGGCAAACATTTGCTGACCATAACTCATCATACTCAAAGATTTTTTGAACTTTATATTGCTTAAATGGAATTGGGCGTTTTGACTGTCTGTTTGACAAAATATTTAAAACTGTCTCGTTGGGTTCTTGTATCCTGCAATCGGCTCCTGATATTATGTTTGAAACTTCAAGGGCTAAATAATAATTTTAAAAAGTGTTAATGAAAATTATTTTTGCATCCTTGAGCAAAGTGTGTATATAGAAAACAAACCTCACTTAACTGCCACAAATCTCATTACAACAGCAACAGGTTAAACAAAAGACTCACAGGCCAAAATATTAATACAATTCAGGTTACTGGTGAGTTTACTATGGGATCAAAAGCAACTTTTTCTGCCACCGCACTGACCTGTACACACACAAACTGAAATTATTAGTCCACACATTACAGCCAAAATGCCTTGGCTAACTCCTCATCCACAGTTCATATGATCACCCAAAATGCCTTCTTCTTCAAATCACACTCTGGCCTAACACCTCCCGCAACCAAATCAAAGTCACCAAATCAAAGTCATGTGCATAACGTTCAATCAGCTGACTTTGAATCAGTTTTCCGGCTGGAAAAATTACATGTATGAAAAATAGAATAATCTACAAATTAATTCTTATGTATCCATTTTATTCAGCAATAATAACATGTAAAAAAAAAGGATAAAACAAATAATAAATAAATGCCATCTGTTAATCACATGGGTCACACGGGTTAGTTGAATTGGCTACTATACCATGAAACAATGGTTGGTTATGCTTTTACAGCCTATTAATAGTCTGCCTGTGTGCGTGTTGGATGAAATATATAACTTAAATATTGAAAACTGATTAAGTTAATCAAGTCAAAGAAACCTTGTAATTAACAGAGCTATAAAAAATAATGAAAATCTTATTCTATCACACCGTTCTGTACAGGATGAGCACAGACTCAGAGGTTGCTGACATTTCTTTCTTTCTGTTGCAAATGCTATAATCTCCTACCCCACACAGAGTGCCATTATTTGACATTATTCACAAGAGGCCACCATATAGAAAATGCTGAATGAGAAAGATGAAGCCCTGAATTTGCTTAGTGTCAGTGTAAACAGAAGATTTGAAACTTAATATGCTTGTGCTGTGTGGCAGTGATTCTACACATGTTGCTGAGTATTTTGTGGGAAATAACTTATAATATGCAGCAACTTGGAAATTGCTAACTTTGTTCACTAAGTGTTCATTTTAGGTCTGATTAGCTGAACAGCCCGTTGGTCCACCCCTTTAAATTTACCTGCACTCGTGCCCGAGCCCTTTCACAGCCCTGCAGTAGTGCATCTTTCCTACTAATATTCTACTAGACACAGATCTTTGCCAGGGGAAATGTTACTGACAGCCAGTTGGTTACAGCCACACACACACAAACACAAACAGGGGCCATCTGTTCCATCGCCCCTTAGGCGAGGAAAAAAGCCACACACACACCTGGACAGAAAAAGGCCAGGGCCCTGCCTCTAGCATAGGCACCACTTACATACAACCACTAACAACATTCGCTCATCTGATGCTTCAGTGTGAGAGTGCGTGCGTGTGTGCGTGTATGTGTGTGTTGGGGGCTTTCCTCCTCCTAACCGCTGGACCTCCTGACCTGTAGATACTGATATGCTCATGTCCCAACCGGCAGTATAATGCAAAAACTATACAGTATAACTTCTTTCGAGCCTGTAGTTGAGCATTTATTGACCTGCCTCTGCTCACTCATGTTGGTCAGTGGATGGTTGTGGGGTTAAAAGTCGTACTCAAAGGTATCTCTGTTTGCCTTTAGAAAATAACAATCACCTCCCCCACTCATATTTTCCCAGTGGAGATCCAGGGCAGGGTTGCCAGGGGCTAGAGCCTATCCCAGCATGCATCTGGAAAGAGGCAAAGTATACTATGTTCAGGTCACCCATCTATCACATGGCAAACATACACACCTTTATTGGCTTGAGCATGGAAAACACAACACACCCTGCTGTGTTTTCTACAGTTCAAGTCTATGTGTCACATGAACAAACCAGGTGTCTCCAGGTTAACATCTTATTTGTAGTGGTTCCAAGAGGGCCAGAGGTGAGATACTGCAGCACTACAGAGTCTGATGCAAACATTAATAACCTCAAGCTTGTCATTTGAACCCACCAAAAACTCTAAAATACATAACAAAGAACACACCTATGACCCACTGGGAGTGATCCAGCAACACTAGCACATGCCTGTCCATGTGCCATATATCAAACATGAAGAAACCACAGGGTGCTGCTGTAAAAAGCATCTGTTAAACACTGCGACACTGAAAGTTCATAAAAGTTCATTCTTGACCTTGGTACCAGTAGTTTAACAAAAAACAAAACAAAAATATTCACCCAAGCTTTTTTCAGAGCTTTCAACCACACCTCATGGTCTTCATCAGATTAAGTTTGCTGCAGTTTAAAACTGTGACCAAAGCTCAAAGATCCTGAGTTTTGTCAAATTCAAGTACATACATTTTTTGCAGTGTTACATGATGTGCCACTGTACACGAATGTCTATATGTCACTGCAGCAGTGATCAGATCTATGGCTGCAGCTAACATTTATATTCATTTTCAATGATCATTTTCTTGATTAATCAGTTAATCATTTGTCTGACTACTGTAAAAAAATAGTGACCAGAGTCCAAGGTGAAGGGATAAACCCAAAAGTGAACCAAAAAAGCCTCGTTCCGTTTATGTCTACAAAACCCTCTGCAGAAAACACCAGTACCCACAGTGCCCTGTGTTTCACCCTCTGCCTCCCTGTAATGTTCCTAACAGTATGCTGTCTGTATCATCTTTCTTTAACACACAGTGTTGGCTTAGGCCTCATAAAATCTTGGAGTATCACACTTGGCTACCAAGAAAGTCTCCATGGTTGGATGCCAAGGACTTGATCTTGTGTATCTAGTGTGTGATGGCACAGCAGAGAACATACTTCTGACAAATTTGGTCATTTTCCCAAATGACTACAGATTAAAAACAACCAAAAACTTGAGCTAACATTACATTTAAGGAAACTACAGAAGTAGAGCCAAGCAATCACAGAATGATGTGGAATATGAAATCATCTAAACTGAAGAGAGGGAGCGTGACAGAAAGGTTACTTCCATTACTGCTTCACAAACACCCAATTATTCCTTGTTTTCTTCTACCTGTAATCCCTCCTTTCCCTTTCTGACTCTCGCTCGTCTCCCACATGCTCTCACTTCCTCTCACGGCCTCTCTCTTTCTCCATCAGCATTCCTGAAGATTTTCAGCATGTTCTATTTATGCAACAACCACACATGCGTCTATCGCACCACACAATGCAGCACACCACCTATACTTAGCCGGCTGGTGTTTCAGCATGGGAGCCAGATTTGAAAAAGTCAGTCTCTCGCCTGGGAATCTGGGCTCTAAACACATTGTACTCTTTAACAATATTATTATTCTTCATTACTCTCTGTTCTTGTCAGGCTCAGTGTGGCATGATGTAGCTGGAGAGGAGTCACTGGTGCTGTCTGGGGTTAAACATCGCACTGAAAGTCAAGACGACAGGCCCGCTGAAGGTGGAGAGCCATACTTGTTCTGCACCTAGTCTGTTTTAAAGATTTAAAGTAATAAGTCTGCTGTTCTACAGATTCAACTTTTTAACATATAGAGTTTTTATCAGGATGATGATCACATTACATCTCTGAAGCTCAGACTGTTATTTGCCTAAGAAATGAATTAATACTATTACTACTACTTCAAAATTACGACAGATGTAAGATTATGTAGCAACTCATGCCATCCAGGGCCTGTATAAAGCTCCTAAGAAATACACTTAAGAATGCTATAAAAAAGGCTAAAAAACTTCTTGGCTGAGTGTTTTTTCCTGCAAAACTATTATGTACTTTTAATTTTTAAAGACATTTATTTTATCTGTGCGAAATCTTTTACATCTCTGGTTTTAACAGCCTATAATAATAAAATATAATAATAATGATAATAATAATACATATTTATAAAAATACAGATTAATAAATAAAAAACAAAAACACAATTAGGAAGAAAAGGAAATCTGCTGGTCTACAAGGTACATCAGAGAAATCATGTGATTACAATGAAGATGCATAGAAAGTGTTTGCAAACATGTAACTCCTGCTTTACTGCGTTGCTTGCACTCCTGATAAGTGTGAAAACAAGTGCTCAAATGAAATGCAAATAATAGTCCACACTACCCCATCTTGAACTATACATATTGCTTTTGTTAACTTAATTTTCATCACGCCAATTATTTTCAAAACATGACTCAGAAGGTGTGTGCTCGCCGCTGTTTCTGTACTTCAGTTATCTACGATTTACCCCTGACCTCTGTAACTCCCTTATATTTAAGCGCAGTTTTGAGTTGCAAGAAATGTGATAAACAGCTTTTATTCTTAAGTTTGCAAATACACATACATCATCGACTAATGATGACTACAGGCCCCCAGGTCACTCTCAGTTTATCACCATCCTAGGATGTATTACTACTGTATTCATTTAGCACTGCTTTGCAATGCACAGCTCATGCAGTGCCGCTGTATTATCGGTGGCTTGGCTTCTTCCCACATACAGATAGAAGGTCTCTATGACAGGGCATGATACTGATGACAAACCATAATGACAGTTCTGGGCTGATTTAAGCACAAGAACTTCATATTTATGTAGAAAATGGTAGAAACTTAGAGAGAGTAATTAAAATAAAAAGATAAAATAGGTTTTCTCACATTTTAGACCCTTACCAGAAATCCAACTAATCCCACTCAAAAGGAGTTTTTTCAATTAACTGAACAGTTCAGTTATACTGGGGAGGAAGTATTAGCAGTCGCTGACAGTGAATACTATGTTAGGCAGAAGATGTCTGTGCAAGATAGAGATTTTGGCTCACCAGAGTAGCTGAGCTACTTGTAACTTCACTCTGTGCCATCAGACCTATCTGCGATATAATATGGTTCAGACCCTGGAAAGCACACCACCGATAAAGAGACAGATAGCATCAGCTTTGTTCTATTGTGTACCACAGGAAATGAATCCGAGATGCAGGCTGAGCAAACAAAACATGCTTACAATCAGGTGTTCACACACACTCTATGACTGGCGCACAAGCACACACATAGATCCATGTACATACCCACACCGTTGCACATGAAGCACATTGATGCCATGCACGTGCAGACACACAAGGCACACTTATCTAATCTTTGCTGCTGCCACCTACATAACCAACATGGAAAACGTTCCATTGAGATTCAACAATTAACACAAAGGCAGGGAAGCACAAAGCTAATTCAGGCGTGCTGTAGTTAATGGAAGAGAAAGTAAGAGGCTCATTCTGTACATCAAGTTAAATCAGGATGAAGCAAATTGAGAAGGTGACCCAAACATCTATCGATGCATCTATCTCTCTCTCAGTGGTGAAAAATTCTACCTCTGGCAAAAGAATAAAACAACTTGAATAAATAAATAATAATAATAAAACAAGGAATCAAAGATTAGATGGACTGATGATAAAAGTATGTTCTGGGAAGCTATTTAAAAGAGCTAATGTCTTTGTCGGGTCAAGTTACCAATGTTATAAAGTACTGATCCGCTAAAACAAAGTTTTAACTTTGATGTCGAGCCTGGAGACAGAGTCAGAAGACTCTGTGCACAAAGGTTCATCAGGGATCGACAGCCCAGAAATACACAGCCATGGGCAGTGGTAGAAGAATCTTAAGCAAAAGCAGCAGTTCCACAGTGTAAATAATAATACTCTGATTAATGTAAAAGTCCTACATTCAAAATGTTACTTAAATAAAAGTACAACAGCATTAGCATCAGAATTTACTTAAAGTACCTAAAGTTAAAGTACTTGTTATGTAGAATGGCACAGTTCACATTATTGTCATTTTATTGGGTTAAGTATAATTATTGATACATTATTGTGTTCATCACTTTAATGTTACATCTGATAAAGGAGAGCTAATTTTAAATACTTTATATTCTTGTAATTTGAACTACTTTACAACTGCTAGGTAGCTTGTGAAATGAGGATCAATGAAGTATTATGATTATATTATTTGTTTTATAAATCTCTGAAAATAACTAGTAACTAAATGTATCCAATAAACACAGTACAATTATTTCCTCTGAAATGTAATGAAGACTAAGTAGCCTATGAAGTAGCAGAAAATGAAAATACCCTAAAATGGTACTTAAGTACAAAACTTAGTAAATGTAGTTGGTTACTTTAATCCTCTGACTATGGTTTTAAGGTCATGCTAAACTTAGCCACTCGTTGTTATAACTAAATCTAAAACCAAGTTTCTCCAAAGGCAGATTGGTGTGCAGAGCCTGGACATTTAAAAATATCCAGTGTTTACAAGTCTCAGTGGAAGGAAGCATCTCGGTTCCCTGAGTCGGTGCTGCCGGAGGAGGGGCGGTTTAAAGAAACGGAGCTGTGGGCGGAACACAGAGGAAATCACGGCGTCCTCCTCCCCTCCAATCCACCCCTCTCCCCTCCCGACCTCCGTGCATTGCAAAGCACACGCAGTCCATTTCACCTCCCCGCCTCCGTCAACACGATCGTATCATATCGATGTCAAGTTGACTTTGTTTGCAAAGATATTGTTCTCAGTCTTGACGTGCCTCGACCGACAGGCTGCACGAAGTGGCCGCTGACAGTCCTGCAGCAACGAAAGCATCATTGAAGAAACGTGCACGGATTTGTGTCTTGAAAAAGTTCAGAACACATACAACTGGCCTGAAGAACTTGGGGGGGAAACTGCTGGAGGCATCACAATACAACTAACAGTCCCCATGGGAATATGATGGCAAGAGATGAAACATAAACTTCATACTGTCTAACACTTAATGTCCGTGAGGGAATATCAGTAACACCACAGGGGATAAAACTACTATAAGGTCACTAATACTGATGTAAAAGACAGCAATGACAGCAATTCAGTAGCTTTGAGGGAACAAGGCTGTCAGTAGTACTCCATCTGCAGCACAGGGAACAGACTGACAATCGCATTTATCGGTAAACAGACGAGACACGGTGTTGTTACCCGGTTATTCGAGGAAATTAAGCCTCTGGCTGCACCGCTACAAATGGTTTATCTACCTGAAACTGCTGCACCTCAAAGCGGCCATTAAATTTTAATTATGTTATTGCTCCAGTTATTCCTCAAACGTGGCTGCAACACAGACAACACACATGAGCGACGGAAGGAGAGGTGGCCAGTATGACTACAACACACACACACACATACGCAAACAGAGAGGACTGTGTAATAAAGCATGTACTTGCATGTGTACGCGCACACACTCACACTGTCAGTTAAGTTCCAGTACTCACTGCGGCTGTGTTAACGCTGCTGCCCCTCGGTTGTGAAATAAGCTGTGTGCAACAAAAAGGCCAGTCGGTTGTCCGCTTAATATATTCTACTGCTGTCAAACCTCTAAGTGAGCTCCGTAACGTAACAGCCGAGGTGAAACGCTCTGTCTCTCGTGTCTCCAGTGTATCCTTTACTGTCTTTCCCTCTTTTCCGTCTTTTCCAGCTCCTCCACTGGTGGCTTCCCACTCGGGCGCTTCCGTGATGTCACGACGGCGAAGAGCGCGCCCCCGAGACGTGCCCCCTCCCACCCTTCCCTTCTTCCCAGGAAAGGCGCGTGCATGTAGCACTTTTATTTGATTGCTATAATGCACTGGTCAAAACTTTCATTGTCAAAAATCTTCACATAGTCAGTGGAACAGAAGTGAATCGTTTTTTATTATCATTATTGCTTACATTATAAATTTATTCAATGACCACATCTAATAAAATCCACGAAATCTTTTCTCATTCATACTCCACCACGAGAAAATACTAAATATTTACAGCACATTTTTCAAATGCAAACGCACTGTAATTCATAAAACACATTCAAAACAAAATAATAGGAAATTCTGTGAATGTCTGCAATAACCATGCTGAAATATACAGAAAGTCTATAACAGATCATTTTCAGTTAAATTAAAAAAACAATGCATGTCTTGTAGTTTTGTATCTTTTTTTTGTCATTTTGCATAGGCTATTTTTGTTGTCATTTTGTTGTCTTTGGGGTAGGTTTTTGTTTCTTAGCAGTGGTTTTGTATTTCTAGATGTACAGTGCATCTATTTTTTTCCCATTTTCTGTTTTTGTTTGGGTTTTTTGTTTGTTTTTTGAGTAGTTGTTTTGTAGTTATTTGCTCGATAGACTTCTTAATGATTTAGGGCCTTCTGCGCCCTTGGGCCCCGGACCCTTGCCCAGTAGGCCCGTTCAGTGATCGATCCATGACTGTGGGGTTATTATTACTTACAGAATAATGTGTAAATAGCCTTTTACTGTTGTAGTGGCTTGGGGTGGCCTTGACCTCTATAAACTCTTGGCATTGCAATGCATATTTCACAAGTTCACTGTTCTGCAAAATCTACATTTGTTAAGTCACTTAGTAAATGTTAAACAAATGTTGAGTTTAATGTACAATATCTCTCACTGAACTCACAGATCAACAGTAAGGGATGTATAGTGATTTCATTATATGATGGATTTGATAGTGTTATGATTATTTCAGCTTAGATGACCATTAGGAGAAAATAATCACCCAGGTTAGATTCAAACTCATAATGAGCTGCTTGTATCAGTAGAAGTTATATGATTTTTAAGGTGCAATAAAAATAAATTCTCAAGTGCAGATGTCATGGCTTTCAGTCATTTTTCGAACATAATCATTAACTAACTGATCAATCTGAATACATTTGATTTTTAGCTATGCTTATCTTATTAAGATCATTTATACATATTAATTGTGTTTGTTTATTTTTACTAAAGCAGTGTCTCATCTCTATAGTGTGATGTTTTTAGGTTCATTTTGTACCCATGCATTGTCTCATCATATTAAAACCTGTGGCATGTTCATGCTTGACTGTCACTCACAAGTTTGATGAATGAATGACCTCCATTCAGTATAAGACTAGTCAAATATGTGGCATATCAGTTCTGTACCGGAAACAAATTCCTTGTGTGTAATAAAGGTGATTATCCTTATATCTTTTAGATCATATGATTTCATCTCATCTCTTATGTCTCTTTTTTTGTCTGGTTCTCTTACCCACAATTACACATCATCCCAAGGAAATCTTTCCAACTAGACACTGACCAAGTACACACACACAAACACACACACACACACACACACACACACACAAACACACACACACACACACACACACGGTGTCCCAGTTCCCTGGGCGCCAGTCAGTCAGGCAACTGAGGTATAAATACTTTGCTGGCTAAAGTTCCCCTTGAGAGAAACACATCAGTGGGCCAATAGTTCCTTCTGAAAAGTCTGTGCTAACTTTATCAGCGAGAACATAATGATGATTATTTTAGTTTCCTTATGTGTTTTATCATTGTAAAACTTCTACAAAGTTCTTCTCATTAAATTCAATAAATGACTCCAATCATGCATGTTAATAAAGATACAGCATAAGCTTAGTGTCTTGACTGTGTAGTGTTAGGTCAGATTAAAAGGTTTATCCACATTACCCATGAGCAAAGCACTTGTCATTCTTAGAGAACTCAATGTAATGTGAGAAAAATTACCTCTGAGATTTTTTTTTAAGACATACACTTTTATTACTGTTAGCAGCTATTTAATACACACCAGTCACATAATACATAACAAACATGGCCTGGTCATATTTTAGATATGTTTTGGCCGAGCATGCCAGATGGGTGTCTTAGTGTTTCAAAAAAAAACAACAACAACAAAACAAAGCAGATTGTAGACCATGGAGTTAAAAAAACAAGATCATTGATACTTAAGATGAGAAAAAATAACGCAGTAAACCATGAGATTAATGTTAAACTATACATCAAAAGCAGTTTTAAAAGTGGCTATTACTGTAAATGGGGTTGGGTTCCCATGATGCCACTATTCAGTCTCCAGCCCTTTTTGCTTCCTTCTTGTTTCAGAATGAGACCACAACGTCGGTTAAACAACATTGCCATCTTCTGGTCATATATAGGCATTACAATATGTACATATTAGATTGTCTTGCCTTGTACCTTACTTGCCAATCGGTAATGCATCTCCACCAGCTGTTCAGTTAAAACATCTTTGGTTTATTTGCCAGTTTGGCTAGAAAACAAATATACACATGCATACATTATACAATATATTACACTGAGTTTCAGTTGTCCTTTTCTAATGTGCGGTGCTACTTCTGCTGTCTCTTAGTTGTTAAAAACTTTCTGCTATAAGATATGCAGTGTATTATATATCTCACCAATGTGTACACTAACAAAGAAAGAATAAACATTTGATAGCAGTTGCACATTAATTTCTCCTGATGTATGGGGCACCTTAAGTTGATTGGTGTACAGGACTTATTGTGAGTATGTCATCAGACTCATCATCAAAGATACCAAAAATAGGGTAGAGCTTTGGCCTGTTGCTGAAGGAAACACCAGCCACAGCATAGAAAAAAGCTTTTAATACTGGTGTGGTCTCAGTGAAAGTACATCCTGTGAAGGAGTAGATCTGAGTTCTGGTATCCACGTCATAGAAGGAGATCTCTCCCTTCTCATAATCAACAAACACACCAACTGTTTTGGGCATTCCTTCCAGGCGAGTGGTACCAAAGTAATCATCATGAGCAAAACATCCCTGGCAGAAGCCTAATTCACTAATTGTCCAGGCTCCCTCCTGTGGTGAGGGATAGAAAATCATCTCCTTTTTAATAGATTCTTTCACTACTCCCAAGATCCAGCTCCACTTCTACTGACCTGAACCTCATAGTAGAACCTGCCTGATGAAAAGGACAAAGTAATTATTTTCAAATCTTCTTCCAAATAAGGTAAGAAAAAACTGTGGGCTTTGACGAAATTTCAATTGCTTCCCATGCTCAGACACCATGAGTTTCAAATGCGCCATATAGGCATCCATAGTCACATCTACCGCATTACACTGCTGGATCAGCATCAGCCTGTCCTGAGGCAGATTCCACACTGCATTATTAAACTCATCTGTCATTGGCTTTTCAGCTGCTTTAGATTGTTCAGCCACCTCACAGCCAGAAGACAACCTGATCTTATTAATAAGCATTTTCATCTCATTACTGAGCGCCTTTTACATCTGAATCATTGCTTCTTTCACTATTTCCATATAATTCTGATGATTCATGAGGTTTTGTGTAAATAGAGAGGTGGAATGGGACAGGGGATCAGACTGGTCTTCAGCAGGGATGTAAGAGAGGGATGGCCACCTCTGCAGCAGGCGGAAGTGGTCCTCTGTTTTTAGAAGTTGCTCAGTTTCTGACCTTCTCCTCCCCAACTCAGCAACTTCTTGCTCCAGCTGTGTCACGTGGTCTACAACCTGTTTTTATACTGCGTTCTGCTTCTCCTGGATTATCGCAAGCAGCTCAACTAGGCTTCTTCGCAGAAAGGTCACCTGAGCAGTTAAAACCTCAACAATCTCCTTCTCTGAGTTTTTCTTGCTCTGTTCAAGTGAATATTTGATTTTCTTAATCATCCAGGATTTTGTGTTTTTCCTCATTTTTATTTCTGACATCACATCTTCCAGCTGGCTTTTCCTTTCTCTGAACACACGATCTAAAGGAATTGCTTCATGTGTGGCATGGTCATTTTTCAGGCACATGAAACAAACACACATCTGGTCTAAATGACAGAAGAACTCAAACACCTTGTCCTCAAGATCTGACACAGGGTCAGCCAGTTGGTGTTTTTTAAAGGTTGAGACTCTCTGATGAGGCTGTATGAAGGTAAACACACCAACGTCAGGTTACTGCTGGCCCAGTAATTTGTGATACAAGCCTTGCAGCAGTTGTGTCCACATGGAGTAGAGACAGGCTCAGTGAACTCACCCAGGCAGACTGAACAAAGGAGCTCTGCTTCACACTGGAGGCTGCTGGCTGAGGCCATGTCTAAGCAAGAGGAGAGAATATGATCATTAGAATTTTCATTTTTAAACCCAAAATTATGTACTGAAACATTTCCCTATCTAAGAAATTGGTCTTTAAGTAGTACTCGATTATTTTATGTTCAATATTCTTTGCCCTGAAAGTTGGAGGCGACATTTATAGCTAATAGCATCCAAATATGTAGGTCAGAGCATGAACCACATGCAACTGTAAAAAGGTCTGACACATTAAAAAACATGTTGTTTTTCAAGAGTTACATTCATGCTGAGTAGATAAGGTATGCTGTGGGCTTGATTCAATGTACAACAATTTGTTACCAAATCACCTGTACACACTATGTGTTTTCAATTTTATTAATTTATGCCCCCTTTTGAATTCTAACAAACCAGTTTCTGGCAAGTTTTATAGTTTTGGTGAAAGCTGACCATTAATTTGACTCTGCAACTAAGCACTTTGGGCATTTACTGGGAAGCTAAGATGTCAGAATATGAAGGTAGAGAGATATCAGGGATGACATGCAATAAAAGTCAATTGCCTTGAGCACCAGGCAACCAGAGTGCCCTTCTTAAACAAATTAGGCTATCAGATCAACTCACTGCAATACAAATGTGTAGTAAGATTAAACAGGCATTAATTTGGTAACACCAACAACATATGCAGAATGTGTTGCATGTACTGATGGAAACAATAATACAGAGACTTTTCTGCATAAAATCACTGGCTATAGCCAGTTAGATTTGATTTGCAGGTCATGACAATGCAGTGTGATGATCTACAAAGAGGAGCCATACAGGAATCTCAGGACATTCTGAGGGGCTGCTGTTGCTCTAACTCCAGAAAAGAGCAATCCATCATTCCCTACCCTGATTTTAGATGTCACCCAAGTATGTATCTAAATGTGTAAAATGCGCTCATCTAACTAACCACAAAATCAAATTAATTTTGGCAATGACACATGATCCCTCCCTTCTCCTGCCAAGCCTCTTCCCTGGAAAAAGTCACTGAAGCTGACTGGACTGGACCTTCCTGTCAGACTTGTTTTTCCTTTTGAAAACATAATGTATGGACTGGACTGCATATTTAACAGATGTGTAGAATTTTTATAATATTTTTAAACATTTAACTGTGTTTTTCCACAAATTTCAGTAACTGAAAGCCACTATTATGATTCTTTGTAATTCTATTGTCTATAACAACAGACAACCAACAATACCAGTGCAAGGTTTCCTTTCCACATGAAGAACTGGAAATGGAAAAAACACCATATACAGTCATATTTTTTGAAAAACAACTGCATAGTCTCCACATGTTTAAAGAGAGATGATGCTTCTTTGAAGGTGTATTCCTCCTGAAACAGCTACTTAAAAGTCTTATTGCACAAAATAGATCAAATAAGGGATGTTTACTTTCTGTCCTGTCGTAAATTTTGTTGCTGCTTTTCTATTTCACATCCCAGTCCATCCATACCAACCAGTATTACAATCACTTTTGCTGTTTCAGTCATCAAGGAAGGAAATTTTTCTTGTATTTGTTTTTTGTTTGGTGTCTGTTTACGATTGTTTCTATATGTAAAATGTACCAAACAAAATCAACATCAGGGCCAGAGTCAAACTGTCATCTAAAGCATACTGTAGATGGTAGAAAACTAGTTTTGCTTTGTTTGCTGTAAAGTTAGCAAACAAGGGATGATTAGCACAGTTTTATAACTAATCTACAACAGTACAGCACATATGCTGGTTGGGAGTTTCATCTTTGACTTCACTGTGATGGGAGTAAGCAAAAGAGACATTCTTTATAGAGCTTAGTAAAGGACAACATATTCACAATCACAACAATACTTCATGTTCTTCTTTTACTTTTATTTTATTTGTTCATTTTGCTTACTGAAAAAGAGGTTGATGTTAGATGCTCCTGCAATTTCACTCACTAGATGGAACCATTAGGCCATCACATTCCAACCCCAGTACTGTAGGTCTATATGTACATTAAAAAGCTTTTTAGCAAGTTTTTTCTAAAACATTTTTTTATTGCTCCAATAGATGAACTATGTGTCTGAAGATAAAATGATCAGCAGAAGTGTTTATGCACGTATATGTGTGTCTGTGTGCATCAGTGAATTCGCATCATAAGCCATGGGAAGTATCCAGTGCGCTGCATGCCAAAGATACTGATGAAGAAGTTGAGAACAGTGGTTATGAAGACTGTGATGGTTGTTTTGTTGTTCAGGTAGTCCAGGCGCTTCTGGAGAGCAGTGTTATTCAGGTCCCGACGGCCTGTGATACACAAACACACACACATATACATACACAATAGAGAAAAAGAGGGTTCAAACTACACCTGGTGCTGACAGCTATTCATTTCAGTGGAAAAATGGGTCCAAACTGTTGACTACAAGTATAGGTCCACTGTACCACTTGGCAGTCACCTTTTCATATACCAGCTAACCATTAACACCAAAAAATCAATCTTCAGCAAAAAAAAAACAAAAAACAAAGAGCACACCTTCTGTTAAATCACTATATTTATTCAGTTTTCTTGATGAGAATGTATTCATACATATTACAGTAGAGATGTCTCTTATATTTACCACCTGTTCCTATCTGGCTTTGAATCTTGCCTTTTTTTTAATTAAACCATTTACTGTAAAAAATTATTCTTCACATCAGTTTTCTCAATTTTATCATTACGGATCAACAAGGTAGAAACACATATAAAGTGGAAAACAGTTTGAAACAGACTTAATGGAACAAAATCACATTTTTAAATGAAGGTTCAACATTAATAATGTAACAAATTAAAAAATATAATTACACAGATGTTCAGTTGGTTAAAGTGAAGATATTTTAGTCGGATTATAGGCTGAATAACACTTTTCAGTCCCTGAAGAATAAATAAGATCTGATGTTTGAACTGTGTTTCAAATTTATAAAAATAAGTGAAACTTACAGACACACATTTATTTAGAAGTTAAGTTCATCTTTGATCAGTGTGTTTGATGGTGTGTGAATAAGTGCATGCATGTTGTGTTTGTGTGTGTGTAAGTGTGTCTGATATGTGAGTGCACATGAGTTTTGTGTGAGTGCGTGTCAGAAGTGGAGCCGAGCGAGCAGCCAGCGGAAGAAGCCGGTCCTCTTGGATCCAAAGAAGCTGATGAAGAAGTTAGTCACCGTGGTGACAAAGATGATGCCTGTAGCAACGTTGTTCAGGTAGTCGAGCCGTTTCTGATTGGACACCACATTCAGGTCCCTGCGGGCTACAACACACACACGGACAGACACACAAACTCACATATTTCAAACATTTCAAACACACCCATGCACACCCACACACTTAGAGCTGGTGCATCCATACTGACATGTACTTTACATAGGCTCTGTATGTTGTCAATGTCCGATCTGATATATCGTATTGTATGTGTTCGACACATTGAAACGTGTGTAGCTCACAAGCACACTATACCACACTCTGGCGGTACAGCTGTGTTACAGATTGGAGCTATGCACCAGCAGAGAGCACGTTAACATGGCAACATATAAATGTAAGAGGTTTGGCCTGTCCTCAAATTACTTATGAATCAACATTAATTAGCATCTGCTTGACTAACTGTCATTAAGGAGAGCAGTGCTACAATTGTAGTAGGCTGAGGCAGGCAAAACAGACAAACAAAAAAAAAAGAACATTAAAAAAAAAACCATCAACAGCAAAAAGACCACAAAAAACAGTCAAGTTCAGATTTGAGCTGATACTAATCCATTAAAATATGCTTGGCCTGGCCCTGAAGACAATCTTTAGCACTGGCTGAACTGAATATCTCTACTTATTTCACAAAATCTTGAATATTCCTTTAAAGTGATTCCATATTACAAATACATACATTCACACTGAGAATGAATTCTGTGTGAACATGTTTATGTTAACTGTGTCATACCACAGCACTAAACACCATTTAAATGGAAAGGATAAAGATTGAAGCTGCTATTTGTAGGACCACTGACTGTGTATAAAAGCTGGACAAACCCACTGTGACATCACCACTGGTTTTCTGAGGAGCAGTTCTGAAGGTCTGGCCATCACCATATTGATAGTGCTTCTCTCTGCCTGCTACATCTAATCAAAAATAGGCAAAGGGGTGCAGCATCAGTGGAATGGGCTGAATGGGCAGAATGAAGTTAGCCACCAGCAGTGGGACCCTCCTGCCAGTCACTCAAAGTGGCCACACTCTTAATTTTGCATAACTTTTAGTCTCAATATAATTTAAATGAGCAAGTTATAAAAACACAAATCACCCCCTGTGTCATGGAAGGGGAAGTTAGCTATAGAGACCAAAACTGTTTTTGTTCCAGGCTGTAAACATGTTTATTTTTGCTGTTAACATGTGAGTCTTGTGTAGAATTTAAAATGTCTGTAAAAATTACACTGGGGCAAACAAATGCATTTGGGTTCTCACTAGTTTTCACATAGGAATTCTACACAAAGCAACTTTAATCATGCACGTTTATGCTTAGTTTGTGTTAAAGAATGTACATACAGTCTATGAGTGTCTGCTAAGTGTGTCTCATAGAATGAAGCGTTGAAACAGCCATCGCAGCAAACAGCTGCGCTGTGTGCCGAAGGCAGCTTTGATGATGTTGATGATGAGGGTGAGGAAGATGATGGCTGTTATCACATTGTTCAGGAAGTTTAACCACCGCTGACAAGAGGGGAGGAGGGTCAGCTCAAAACGAGCTGCATACACATACATGCATACATTACAGACACAGACATACCAGACCACAGGCACACAGACAGAAACATACAGACACAAACATAAACACACATCTAGTTGGTGCCTTGACCCAGTCCATTCATACGAATAACATCACTTTGAGATACTCTTTATCAAAATACAGTAATATTATAGCTGATTAGTACTGTAAGTACAACAGTGTCACACTTCAGTGTGTGTGTGTTTTCCCTGTTTTCCAAGAAGATTTACACAGTATAATAACTGCAGAGTCAAAAATGCATCCTGGCAAAGAGGCCAGTGCGCTCCATCCCAAAGACTGAGATGAAGATGTTGGTGATGAAGATGAGGAAGATGATTATGGTTATGATATTGTTCAGGCTGTCCAGGCGCTTCTGGTTGGCCTCTTCATTGATGTTTTGCCGGGCTGCAACACACGTGCACACACACATACCAACAATAACGACAAAACAACAACAAGAAACTATACAAAAGATGTAGAGGAATATTTCAATTTATATTTTTTACTTCATTCATCTTTGTGTAGTTGGTTTTTCATGTTGCACAGAACAAACATTTGTCACTGAGTTAGTATGTTAATATGATGGATTAAAACATAGGAGATGGATTTCTGAAGCACAAGGATATTTTGTGATGCTCACCAATGATGATGATCAGGATTCCAACCATTATCTGAAGAGCCAGGGAGAAGGAAATGAGTGTCAGAACAGCAACGTAGTACCTGAGGATGCAAAAGAAAAAGTTACGCATGAAGTCACATTCAGTAAAAATTTTTTGAGGCAATTGTAAAGATGTTCATGAAAGCACACATCCCTCATCAAAATATTAAAATTAAGAGAACACAGTTTAAGAGAATGTTTGTTCATTAATTTTCTCTTTGAGAAAAAAAAGCACTTTGAACAGAAATTGCTGTAGAAAATGGTGAAAAAGTTCTTAAGACTGTTTTGTCTTCTCCTGGAGCTCCCTGTGTCCTTTACACACATACTGTACCTGTATCCAGCTCCTTGTTCGATGACGGTCTTCATGTGTGTGATATTAGCCAGGAACAGAGCAATATCCAACATGCCCTCAGCTGCAGTTTTCTTAGTGGCATACAGGTTCATGTTTAGATTAAAGCTGGAACCTCCCTGAAAAAGAGAACAATACAGTTTTGATAAAGAACAGGCAGATAGAGAGGAGACAAAATGGGACAGAGAAAAGCAACTGCAAGAGAAAAACAGAAAAGACAAGGAAAATAAAAGATTTTAAGGTAAAAGGCTCTGAGGTTGCAAGAAGTGCTGTTCATTTCATTTATGTAATTTAGAAATGATGTGGGGACGTCCTCCTGTGGACCCACCACCTGCAGGAGGATTCACAAGGGGCTGGTGCACAGTGGATCAGGCAGCAGTCCCCGACGACCTGATCTCTGGACACGGAGACTAGCCCTGGGGACATGGAATGTCACCTCGCTGGTGGGGAAGGAGCCCGAGCTTGTGTGTGAGATTGAGAGGTACTGGCTAGAGATAGTCGGGCTCACCTTCATGCACAGCTTGGGCTCTGGAACCTTACTCCTCGAGAGAGGCTGGACTTTCCACTACTCTGGAGTTGCCCGCGGTGAGAGGCGGCGGGCTGGTGTGGACTTGCTTATACCCCCCCCCGGTTAGCCGCCATGTGTTGGAGTTTACCCCGGTGAACGAGAGGGTCGTTTCCCTGCGCCTTTGGGCCAGGGACAGGTCTCTCACTGTTGTTTGTGCCTATGGGCCGAACGGCAGTGCAGAGTACCCGGCCTTCTTGGAGTCTCTGGGAGGGGTGCTGGAAAATGCTCCAACTGGGGACTCCGTTGTTCTACTGGGTGACTTCAACGCTCACGTGGGCGACGACAGTGATACCTGGAGGGGCGTGATTGGGAGGGACGCCCCCCCGATCTGAACCCGAGTGGTTTTCTGTTATTGGACTTCTATGCTAGTCACAGTTTGTCCATAATGAACACCATGCTCAAGCTTAAGGGTGTCCGTCAGTGCACATGGCACCAGGACACCCTAGGCCGGAGGTCAATGATTGACTTTGTGGTTGTTTCATCTGACCTCCAGCCGTATGTCTTGGACACTCGGATGAAGAGAGGGGCAGAGCTGTCAACTGATCACCACCTGGTGATGAGTTGGATCCGATGGCGGGGGAGGAAGCTAGACAGACTCGGCAGACCCAAATGTATTGTGAGGGTCTGTTGGGAACGTTTG